TTATTTTACTGACGACTGCTTCTCAAATCTCGGAGTTTAATGCAGGAATCGCAAACCGCTTGCTCTTGAAAGATGGTGTTCAAAATACTTAGTTTGGAGTTTTATATTGTGTAGGTCTCCTGCTAACTGGTTAACTAACATTATTACTTCTGAAATACTTCTGCTAATCAGTTGTGGGCCACTATTACATAAAACTGTGTCTATTAATGCAGATTATTTTCTGTCGTTCTCACTACTTTGAGGAAAGATTAAGCATGGAGCAAGATTTGTTTTTACCAACGTTTATGTTGCATCAGTCATTCACGCTAGAGCTCTGCTAATGTATACATTGCATACATGCACTGTTATTGATACAGTTTCCACGTGTTCATCGCAATATATTAGAAAATACTCGGTAAATAAAAAAGTACAAGTAAAATAATCGGTTTGTTGATGGACATGCACTTGTTAATGCTGATTGTGAGGAATTACAGTTGCAACATCTCATAATGTACCTCAAACTATGTAGTGTTATCACTGAGAAACGTCCTGCTCAAGTCGTCCTTGCGATGGAGGTTCGGGTTGAATGAATAGTTCTTCTAATGTTTCATCATCGGACTCGCGCTCGGATTGATATGGTAAAATCGACGTCATTGTTCGTTACTGTGTTTAGTTTACGGTGTAGGAAGCCTCAGGACACGCAAAGCTGTTTTTGTTTTCGACACGCGCGCTGTACGTGGTAAACCAATCCCAACAGACTGAGCTGTCTGGCCAATCAGAGCAGAGTAGCTTGCGGAATGGAGGGATTTAGAGAGATTGATTCATCTGACGAGTCGTTTGAGAATCATTGAAAATGTGGTGATGTGCAAATGTATATTATGAGGAAATTAAACAGTTTTGACCTTTGATGGATGTAAACCTGTTGTAGGAGACTGCAAAACAACATTTGGAAACTTTAAAATAGCTTAATAGGGGCACTTTAAGCATTTAAAATGAGTCCGTAAGGAGGCAAGATGAGATGCTCCAGATAAAGAGAAGGATTGCATGTTAGTAGAATAAGTGTAGGCAGGAGAATGAATGTCCCCTGCTTGCTGCCCCCATGTGAACTGCACTCACATAAGCGTGTGTGTGGTTTGAAATGGATCCTTCTTAATGGCTTGATGGATGCAATATAAAGCTATTGTTGATTGTAAAGTAGATGTTGAGACCGCTTCCTATGATTTTCCCATCACATCTCTTCATTTTCTTGTCAGTTTTTAAAAATTGACCTTTAAAACATAATTTGTTTCTTACAATGGCAGTAACAAGCAACTTGACAACATCTTAAAAATGTGGTGTAGTTGAGATGAGACACAACACAAAAGTATAGTGAAGCAGTCTACTTCCAAATTGCATGTGTGATTTATCTATGGGCTCAGGGTGAAAAATGTCTATGCAATGTGACATTTTCTTCATCACCAAATCCATCAAATGATAGAAAAAGATTATCATTTCCCGCAATAATAGAACGACTTAAGTAAATAATTAAATAAACAAGTAAATTAATGATCAAATAAGGCTGACGATATGACTACTGCCACAGTATAATCTATTCATTGCTTTCATCTGCCACAGTGATGTCTTTAAAATATCTTTATTTGTGGGATTTTCTCAGAAAATATGAATAGGCCTATATGTGGTTACAGTAATTGTGACGAATATCATGTGAATAATTTGAGGAACAATTTTAAATTATTTATAGCCTTTATTTTTCCTATTGCCCTCTCGCACTGTTTTTCCTCCCTGTTGTCATCAACTTACTGTTGTCCTTCCACCATGTTCCTCTCTATCTCTCGGTCCTCACATTGTGTCCGTTCTTAGTGTGGGATTACCAGTGATTAATGAATCAGTCTGATCACACCACATCAGCAGTGAGGATTAGTCTCTGCTGTCCATTACTGTATGAATGAAGCTTTCCCTCATTCACTGTACTGGCTCGATATGTAGATCAAGAGTCCACCATTATACTAATTAACCAGATTATAGTGTTACATACATTAAACACATTCCTTCGTAATGAATGATTAAAATGCTACATGTCCTTTAAAATCATGGTATTTTCTTATTAGTGTAGCTACATTATACATTATACATTTTTCACTGCTGTGAAAAAAAGATGCTTGGGTTTAACAGTTGGCTGTAAATGCTATACATGCACAATGCACAGACACACACATCAATGCTAGTTAAAGCTGTTATGTCTGGCCATAACAAGCAGTAATGCTGTCTGTAGGTCAGAGCACATGCCCAGGGGCTTCAGACATTAAAGCTGGTAGCTGGATGTGTGATACTGTGAACTTCACATAGTGTATCTTGTATAAGTCTTAAGAATATTCATGCTCAGTTTTAATGGTGTTGTATTTTACAGGTAGAAACAGCCACACACGAGATTTTCTCATGCAGCCATTAGTGCTTTTAAGTATTTTATTTATCATTGTGTGTTTATTATATTATTTAGCCATTATTTAATAATTCATGGGGAATTAACTAAAAAAAAGGTTGTCAATTCAGATATACAGCACTGTTAAAAAATTTGGGGTCAGCATGGTATTTTTTCATAGAAACTATTACTTTTTTATTCAGGAATGTGTTAAATTAATCAAACGGGACAGGACAATTATAATGTTACAAAATATTTTAAATAAATTATGTTCTTTTGAACTTCCTATTCATTAAAGAATCCTGAGGGGGGGGGGGGATCCACCAAAATGTTAAGCAGCCGTTTTTAACAATGATAATAAGAAATGTTTCTTGACCAGCAAATATTATAATGATTTCTGAAGGATCATGTGACACTGAAGATTGGAGTAATGACTCACTGTAATGATCACAGGAAAAAAAATACATTTGAAATGATATTTTAATAGAAAACAGTTCTTTTAAATTGTAAAAAATGGTTCACAATATTATGTTTTCACTGTATTTTTGATCAAATAAATGCAGAATTTATCTTTTTACTCACTTTTTAATGTCCAGAAGGGGTATAAATGTACAGTACTTGCCCAGTAATAACAATCAAAGAAATTATATATTGTTGTGACAAAATCATTAATTTCATTTGTTTTATTTAATATACATTCTAACAATGATTAAACAATTTAATCTCTGAACTTTTGTACAAAGTATCTCTTGTTCATGTAGGTTGATGATATGAGCATGTCAGACTGTGTAAGCCATAAAAGGTATTGTTGTCACTTATAAGTGCCCACTAAATTCACATTTCATGTTCCAGGGGGCCCTTTAAGTAGATGGATACCAGAGAGGCCCTGGACCATTTGCTGAGGGGGACCCTGCAGTCTTCATGCACAGTATTGTGTTTAAATTAGTGTCTGGTTTGAGACCATCTCTAAGCTGTTGCCTTTGTTGTACCTGCCTGATATTCAATAGGGCATCTCTCTTTTTCTTTCTCTCTCTGTTGTATAGCTGATATGTTCAATTCTTTCTTTCATCACTGCAGAGTGTACAATTGAAGTTTCTCTCTGAGAATAGTCATCATTTGTCCGTTCACCCTCTCACGCTGGCATTCTCTGACAGCCTCCTCTGAAATCCCCATCCCACTTAAGTCGGCTGGCAGCTCTGTTTTGTTCCCTTGCTGACTTGAATGGGTTTTAATGGTGCTGCTTCATGTTTGAAATTAAGACTCCTGGCTTAAGACAGCAAACCAGACTCAAGAGCCCTGTGACAATCGCCACATCCAACATTTGCTCTGAAATCCTGGCCTATAGTCAACAACATAATGTCTGAGCTCTCTGCAGTCAACAGACCCAAACATCTTTTCTGGAGGAGGCAGACAAGTTGTTTTGGCTGGTTCTCTTGCATGTGGAGTCCGAGTGCTTGACCTTTTTGTGGTCTTTTTGTCCACATCATACTTCTGAGAAGATGGCAGTCTGGATTCCTACTGGAAAAGAGGGCTGTAATTCTTCTTTTACTGAGTGAAGGCACTTGCACTTGTCTGTTGCTCGCCTCTTTTTACTAAGTTTAGAAATTCCCCGTTATCCCCGTTATGATGGTTATCTGTCTCAAATTCTGCATGTAATAATTGCAATTAGGAAAACTTGGTTAGAATGAGCATTGGCATACAGTGGGCAAAAGTGATGGCCGGAGGGGATATTTAAAAATGAAGAATACACTAAACATGGTTATAATATTAAAATGACAAAATTATTTGACAAGAACAGCTTTTATTTTAAATAGATTTTTTTTTTTTTGTAACATTAACATCTTTACTGACAATTATGATTAATTTAATGCGTCCTTGGTGATTTAAAAGTATTTTCTTTCAAGAAAAGAAAAATCTTGTTGACTCAATTTTTTAAGTATATATAGTATAGTAATAGCACAGTGCTGTGTGTTTTTTTTTAAAACTTAATACAATTAAGTTATTGCTATACTTAGGCTTATACATTACTGCACACACTAACAATGCCAAACTGAAACTGAGAAAGATGGCTTCAAAGTTTCTGGGTTGAATTTTTATATCAAAATTGATTTTATCAGTTTTCACACAACGCTTTCCCTAAACCTAGTTGAGTAAAACCTGTCTTGTCTCAAGAAAGATCATAATCTAAGAGTCTTGATTTTTAGTCATAACGCTATTTTGATAAAACGAGTTACTGTGGTTTGCCGCTGTAGATGGTCTTATTCACAAAACTCAGTGCTATTTACTAAGTGTTATTAATGTAGCAAAAGAAGGTAAATTAATTTTTTATTATTCATTTTCCATCATACAGATTATAAATGCTAAATCACCTGTTGATCACCTTCAAAATATTCTAACATATAATCTTTTGATGATACTTTCAGATTACTTGTATATCTTCCCAGCTGTGCTAACATCTATGTACTTTGAGAAGGAAGTAAAGCTCATGTTTCAGGATGGGTACACAATATTTATTTATTTATAATAACGGGTTTTCAAGCACATACTGTTCTCCTTGTGTTGACATAAACTCGGTTAAGAGTTTTTTTTGTATCACTCACAGGTTGCTTTATGCTGTAGGGAGACTAGTGGAAGAAACGTTTAATGCTGCAATACTAAGGTGAGTCCTACTTCATCTACTTGATAAGATCCACTTTATTATCACTGCCTTAGTTTTACAATTATTTTTGACAGGTCCTTTTATATCATCACATTTTACACCTGATTACATCAAGTTGTTTGTGGATCGGTCTAAAAGGGCAACTTCTACTTCTATTAAACCCTCATACTGTAATCTGTCTAGCTGTTCCTTCGTGTGAAATCCCACTTGTATTCATCTGCATGTACATTGGCCGTGTCCTCAATCACCGTACGCTCCAGCAGTTTAAAGCCTGTCAATATTCATCTCATCAGTGCTCCCACTCTCCCTCAGCGCTTACCAGCCTCTTAAAGGGAAAGTAATAGCCGTTTATGGACTCTTCAGACGGTAAAACTGTACTTTAGTGCTTCATGTTTTGTAGCAATATGTTTCTATGCATTTGGATGTACAGTAGCTAGAAACAGTTTGGGTTTAATCAGGATTTTTTTTAGTTGACAAATCCCACTATCGTGCTTTAGAAAACAGGATATTAAGAAAAACCTCACAGTCATGTTTTCTGCTAGATTAAACCACGACTACTCTTTACTGTCTGTAAAATAAGTGTTGATTTAGGCTTTGCTACTGGTTTCACTACAGCTTTGACAATTTTGTAAATGTATAAACAAAAGCAAAAGTGTGATTTACAGCCTTTGTATGATTTTAATGTTTTTTGTTCCATTCTCTTAGCAGCTAATAATTCAATACACAAAACACATTTTGGACAGCCCAAACTAGGCTATATATTTTGTAATTTATCAATAATCATTATTATATAATTATTATAGATAATTATAATATATAATTATTAATAGGCAAAAATAATTCACAGTAATTTATCAGAAAACAAGACTTAATATCCGTGTCATTGTGTTGCTCTAGTTGAATTTATTTTATGTATAATATTTTTAGGATGCTTAGATTTTTTTTTTTTCCCTTGGAAAACAAGATTTTTTGGAGTGTAGTTTTGTTCATGGTTTTTGAGGACAAGGGCATGTTGTGCAACCTGTCCATGTTGGCATCTGCGTTACTTCTACCAAGTGACATATGGATGTGACAGCATTTTTCCCCCTTTTAAAAATTAAACATGTATTGTGTTGTCCTAAATATGGATGATCATATAGTTAGTTGCATTTTCAATAATTGCTTTAGCATTTTTTCTATGACTCAATACGAGCACTCACTAGTTGAGAACCACTGTTGTAGACTGCAGAAAGATTTTAAAGTTTATGGTGACACACCATTTATTATGTTCTATTTCAAAGCACATCTTTCTCCCTGTGTTTAGTCAAGCGATAGTTTGCTGTTTATCTTGTCTAATAGCACATGGTTCCCGCTCTAGATCACCACCCACTGACTGATACAGCGCTAGAACCGTTTGGGCGCTGTTCCCTCACAGTTTGCATCAAAGCTTTGGTGCTGAATTGAAGTGAGAGGAGGCAGAACGTGGGCATGTAGCGTTGCAGCCGTTCACCTCTCCTCCTCCTGTTTTCCCTCTTCACATATCCTTCACTCTGCTCGATGAATTCCTCCTCATCCAGAGGGACTCTCTTTAACAGCCGCATAAATGCACTTTGCTTCTACAAGGACGCCTGCTTGAGCTCAGCTCTGCCAGTGCAGGAAGAAAGTGTGTGTGTGTGTGTGTGTGTGTGTGTGTGTGTGTGTGTGTGTGTGTGTGTGTGTGTGTGTGTGTGTGTGTGTGTGTGTGTGTGTGTGTGTGTGTGTGTGTGTGTGTGTGTGTGTGTGTGTGTGTGTGTGTGTGTGTGTGTGTGTGTGTGTGTGTGTGTGTGTGTGCGCACTAAAGTCTGCACTCTGCATACAGATGTCATGGATTGAAATGGATATCCAGCACCTGGGAGAACAACTGAAGCATCTGTGAATGCAAAGTTACACTCACACACAGAAAAACACGATGTGAGTTATATTCTCTTTAGCATGAGCTGTGACAGGCCTGTCTAGAAGAGTTTAGAAAGTCAGCTCTTGCTTGCCTACCAGAGACAGAATGGGGAGGAGATTGGGAGAAATCGCGATGTAACGGACTAGCCTCAAAAGTAGCGTGATTTAAGCTAAAAAGCTACATTTATTATACAATTGTACATATAGATTGTGTTAAAAATGGTTTGATGTTAACATGTTGCTTACTTTTAAAAGTAATGCATTACAATATTGCATTACTCCCTAAAAAAGTAACTAATTGTGTTACTTCGTTACTTTTTATGGAAAGTAATTCGATACATTACTTTTTTCTCACCTGGGCTTTGCTTGCCTGTTTGTGTTTTAATAACAACAACAAAAAAGTTCTATTTTTGGCAAATGTAAAGGCCCTTTCGCACTAATAGTGAAATGAATAAGCCTCAGGCTGAAAGAAATGCAAATTCATGCCTGTACAGAGTGTGCAGTTAAAAATAAGCCTTTCAGCGGTTCTGCCATTCTGGATTGGAGAAGAATAGGATACAGGAGAAGAAAGTTCAACACACTTACTTAAGCAATAGTAATGTTAAAAAATGAAACGCAAATGTGGTTTATCTAAAGTCATTTTTACTTATTAGTATAGTTGAAGTGGCTCATCGAAGGTCAGCAGCAAAGACATTGGTTAATAAATTGAGATTAAATACATAAAGTATATTTGTGTAATTTAATATATTTAATTATTGCAGGTTTGCGTAATATTCTGAGATTGCATTTCACTGTTTTTATTCATGTTGAGGAATACTGAATCTGTTTTTGTGCAAGTGAGATGAGTAAATGCATGTTCACATTTAGTCTAGAACTACAATAACCATCATGTTCACACAGCGCACACAACGCCTCTGGACTTACTCACGATTTCTCTCAACATTGGGACAGGAGAGCTGTCAGTCAATAAATGGAAAAACTAAGTAACTTGCGTTACTTATTTGAAAAGTAACTCAGATATTTTGTTGTAAATTTAAAAGTAATGCGTTACTTTACTAGTTACTTGAAAAAAGTAATCTGATTACATAACTCAAGTTACTTGTAATGCGTTACACCCAACACTGGTTAGACACAAAGCGGGCCACCTCTCTAGAATTAGCATGATGCCCTCACACAATAGCATAAAATAGCGCCTACAGATACTGGATGAAATAGTTTTTTGATTAAACTGTTTTTATCATTAGATTTCAGTATTGAATTAATTATAAGTATACTCAACCATACTTTTGCTTTATCTGCCATCTTGGATTTTCTTTGCAGCTAGGCATTCTGATATTGCATTCCGTGCAGGATTCGTGTTATCCTCCTTTAGAATTGGGCCAAAAGATTTTCAAAAAAGCTAGAATTTGTACACTTTTTGCACACTTTCTGTGAAATTATGATAATTCTGTGAATATACAGAATTATCTAATCTCATTATCTCATTAACACACTTTAGCATACAGGAACTAAAAGGTTTTCCAAATTAGCCAAATTAATTTTAATCAGATTTGCCCTCCTATCTAACTCTTAAGTTCCAATTATAAGAGGAAAAAACACACAAACAAGAAAACATTCATAGATGAGATAATTGCAGGTGCAGGTTCCCTATGGGCCTAGTGATTCATCTCTTGTTACAGAGATCTGCGTGAGCGACTAGAGTGACACCTAACACCGATTGCATGAGAAGATTTTGGGGCATTTAAGACTTGTAGCATGTAACATTAGTCTCTCACTTTCCATGGTTGCGAAAGAATGTGTCTGGATGAGTCAAAATCTCTATTTTTAAAGATGAACCAAGAATTCTCTTATGGTGCCTCACTTATATTATTATAAGCTGCCCATCTGCCCATGAGGAAGTGAAGTCTCCGGATCAAAATTGATTTTTTTCTGTTCAACACTGGCATTAAGTGGCACAAAGAGAATTTGATATATTAGCTGGTATATATACATTTAGAAATTTAGAAAATCAGCCGTGCTTGTTTGCCTCTACTCACTATTATGTTGTTTCCAGTGAACGTAATTGTTTTGTATAGTCAGTGCCAATGGAACGCTCCTGCACATGATTTTGCTGAGCGCACTGGATTTTGACAAGCCAAGGGTGTGTGTCTGCCTCCTGGATGTAATATGCAGTGTTTGCTACATTGCGCTTTTGTAACGATTCATTTCAGATGCTTGTAGATAGTGTTGGAAATGATTACTGAACACATTTGTGCTGAAAGTGACACATAATAGTATGATATACAGTGTTTGTTTCAATTTGACTGATAGCTACAGTAAAGAAAAGTAAAGACATTTATAATGTTACGGATTACTATTTCAAATCAATGTTGTTCTTTTGAACTTCCTATTCATCAAAGAATCCTGAAAAAATGTATCACAGATTCCACAAAAGCAACACATTGATAATAATAAGACATGTTTCTTGAGCAGGTGTGTGTTTGTTCATTGTAAACAGGCCTGAATCCACTGATGACATTGAGATAAAACTGCCCCAGTGCTGAGCCTGACAGAAGGACAATGCTTTGACCTAGAGCTCAAACAGTCAGTGATGCCAGTCAGAACGAGTTTTAGATTGAAGGTTTGCTAGTACAGTATGTTAATTTGAAGGCCTGACTCATGAATATTTATTAGTTTGTGTTGATGTTGCCAGACCAGTCACGTAACTAATTACAATTCATGAGTCAAGCCTTCACCTTGTTATTTATTCATAAATTAATGTGCAGATACACTTGAGTTGTACATAGATGTTCTATGCTGGCTTAATATTGAGATCAATATTACAATATTAGATCAGCATTAGATGTTTTCTTGTTTTGATAAACTGTCAAAGCATTGTATTAATCCAGAAATCAGGTCTGTAACTTACAATGTCAGATTTATAAAGTTTATAAAGTTTCATTCATTTCTCATTTATCACTCTTTCGGGTTCAGAGATTTTGTAGATCAGTGGATATTTGCGCAGACCAGACGCCTAAAATTATTATTTTTTTAGTTCAGTTCAGGCCAACAAAACATTTTAATATCAGTCATCTAAATTCAGTTAAGTTGTTGGGCCAGGCTCACCTGGGGCAGTTTTAAAAGGCATTTGGGAATTGTAGAAGAAAACCTCTCATGTTTGGTCCCTTTATATTTTGAATAACCTTGAGCAATAGAACAAGGTAACATGTCCCAAATACGTCAAATCGAGAGTGGCTCCCTTGCCATTTGCGTTACAGGATGTCACTCTGTTTCTGGAGCCTGTCTCGTGCCTCAGTGTCTCCAGCTCACTGTAGGACAGAAAGGATTTAGTTGCGATGACATTTCTATTGTTCATCTGCTTTTCCTATGGTAATTCTCCATTCCCCCGTCATAGAGGATTCTCTGAAATGGTTTGCATTGGAACGAGACAATAACAGTAAGAAATGAAGGGAGATGAGTGGAACGATATTATGAGAATGGATGAAGAAATTCATTCCTACGTCTTTCTCAAATGCTTTCTGTTGCTCTATATTTCCATGTAGAGAGCTATATTTTGTATTTCCACCTCTTTTATCTATAAAACAAAGACTGCTTTGATTCTCTCTCTATGAAGCGAACAATGTCTGATCATAAGAGAGACATTGATGTTAGAGAAGTGAACTGTGCCCTTGCTACCAGCAGATGGACAGACAGGTATTCCTGCTCAGTCTTTGCAAATTCTGGACACTTCAGCCAATGTGTGAACTATTTGCATATTCACTCAGTCCTGAATATCAGACAGTTCGGAGATCAGTATTTGACTGCCATACATTTATTGATTTCTGTTGTTCTATTATGTTTTTTTAATGGGATTATTGATATGATAATATGTACTGTGAATGATCTGGGGGGGATTTTGGAAGTGGAATATGACAGCTTGGCAGATTTCCATTTCTGTTAGTTCTGTCATGTTTTTTAGCATTTTTTTATGTAACTTTAAAATGTATTAATTGTGAACCGTAATAAAAAAAAAAGTTTGTAAAAAATGTACTGATCCCAAACTTTTGTACGGTAGTCTGTATAACGTTTGCACAAATGTGAATACTTCCGACTTTACTTTAATTCTCGGTGATATTTCTCTACATTTCTTTGTTTTTTGTTTATAAATTTAAATTGGTATAATTTACTGTTTTATTATTTGACGTAGCATGCAGTTTGGGTTCAGGGTCCTGTAAGGTTCCTAATGATTTGTTAGCTTTCTAAAGCTCTGTTGCAGTGGGGTTGAGTCTGGCCCTGCAGTGTGTTGTTAATCACTAGGCCTCAGGCAGCCGTCTCACATGCAGCCTGTGAATGGATAGAGGAAAAGACTCTGTCACTGTCTCAATCAGCCACAAACAAACAGATAGATAGATTATTTGAGTTTAAAGGCTCTGAGGGAAATAGAACGCAAAGTCGCACACACACATGAACACACAAGTCAGTGAATACAAAGCAGTTCTTGTTCACAGTGGTGGCTCCTAATTATCTTCCGTCTGAGGAAATTGGGCTCCCTTAGAGAAACACTTTTTTTTTTCAATTAGCTGGTCATGTATGGATGACTTCATTGGCACTTTGCTTCCAGTAATATTCACACCCTCCGCAGAGTTAATGCCAGAAAAATGCCATCGAGAGCATGATCAAGACATAACTGACCCTCATTAGAGCCCAAAATTAAGTTGAGGACTGATAATGTTCACACAGAGCCTTTCATTTTTTTGCTTGTTTGAAAAGGAGGAGGAATAAGAGCAATGAAATTTGATCGAATGAGGATACAAAATCAGCTATATTACCATTCCTTCATGTGTCTTTTTACAAAACACAGCAAGCATTGTTTTTATAGAACATTATTATATATATTATACCATCAGTTTATACCACATAGTAATTCCAGTAAATTACTGTCAAATTAACAGAACAACTTTTCCAGTAAATACACAAATGTGTTGTTCACACAAGCAATAGCATTCCGCCTTTTTACCATTCACACATCACTACCAAGGGTCCCGAGCACAAGACATGCTGCAAACTGTCAGACGGCCGTCTAGCGCATGTTACAATAATTTAAAGCAGAAGAGCTTCTGTAAACGGCTCCGACAGAGCTTTATCATATTCATAAACTTGCCTTGGCCACACTAGACTTTGAGCATGCAAAATGTCTACAGATGCTGCAACAGTCATGATATGATGTCACACTCTGTGCCATCTTTTTTTTAAACCTATATTCAACATATAACAAATAATAATAAATCCAACATGTAAAAAACAAAACAATCTACTCCACTTTACTGCAAAAAGTTAATTCAGCTTTAATTCAAGTTTAATTCAGCTAAGAGGTCACGCTGTGGTGTATCAATCTTCTATTGGTCACACATCCAAAACTACTTCGGATGAGCTTGCGTTTCTGGTCTCCCACATTTGCATGCGTTTGAATGCAAGTCAAAGGAAGAAAAAGTGTAGTGTGACCACCCCTTTATTCTTTGTTCACACATAGCATTGTACCAATAATTTACTGGTAATATTACAACTTTTCATACCGGGAAATTGACAGAACTGATTAACTGGTATTTTTGAAAAGGTCCTGTTCACACATGATTTACAAGTAATTTACCATTAAAGACTGTATGTGTGAAAGGGGTTATTGTCAGTGCAACAAAGTTGAGCACATTTTGACTTTATACAAATTAGCAGTGATACTGCAACCTCTCAACCTTTTTGACTCAAAGGATCCCCTCTGTATTTTATATATATATATATACTCACCTAAAGGATTATTAGGAACACCAAATTAATACTGTGTTTGACCCCCTTTCGCCTTCAGAACTGCCTTAATTCTACGTGGCATTGATTCAGCAAGGTGCTGAAAACATTCTTTAGAAATGTTGGCCCATATTGATTGGATAGCATCTTGCAGTTGATGGAGATTTGTGGGATGCACATCCAGGGCACGAAGCTCTCGTTCCACCACATCCCAAAGATGCTCTATTGGGTTGAGATCTGGTGACTATGGAGCCATTTTAGTACAGTGAACTCATTGTCATGTTCATGAAACCAATTTGAAATGATTCGAGCTTTGTGACATGGTGCATTATCCTGCTGGAAGTAGCCATCAGAGGATGGGGACATGGTGGCCATAAAGGGATGGACATGGTCAGAAACAATGCTCAGGTAGGCCGTGGCATTTAAACGATGTCCAATTGGCACTAAGGGGCCTAAAGTGTGCCAAGAAAACATCCCCCACACCATTACACCACCACCAGCAGCCTGCACAGTGGTAACAAGGCATGATGGATCCATGTTCTCATTCTGTTTACGCCAAATTCTGACTCTACCATCTGAATGTCTCAACAGAAATCGAGACTCATCAGACCAGGCAACATTTTTCCAGTCTTCAACTGTCCAATTTTGGTGAGCTCTTGCAAATTGTAGCCTCTTTTTCCTATTTGTAGTGGAGATGAGTGGTACCCGGTGGGGTCTTCTGCTGTTGTAGCCCATCCGCCTCAAGGTTGTGCGTGTTGTGGCTTCACAAATGCTTTGCTGCATACCTCGGTTGTAACGAGTGGTTATTTAAGTCAAAGTTGCTCTTCTATCAGCTTGAATCAGTCGGCCCATTCTCCTCTGACCTCTAGCATCAACAAGGCATTTCCGCCTACAGGACTGCCGCATACTGGATGTTTTTCCCTTTTCACACCATTCTTTGTAAACCCTAGAAATGGTTGTGCATGAAAATCCCAGTAACTGAGCAGATTGTGAAATACTCAGACCGGCCCGTCTGGTACCAACAACCATGCCACGCTCAAAATTGCTTAAATCACCTTTCTTTCCCATTCTGACATTCAGTTTGGAGTTCAGGAGATTGTCTTGACCAGGACCACACCCCTAAATGCATTGAAGCAACTGCCATGTGATTGGTTGATTAGATAATTGCATTAATGAGAAATTGAACAGGTGTTCCTAATAATCCTTTAGGTGAGTGTATATATATATATATAGAAGGCAAAATTCGCATCATGTTTATTTTTCTTTATTTGACAAAAAGCAGAACACTTTGTTTTTATTGTGAGTATCCACAAAAAAAATAGACACTTAACAGGATCTAATGATGTAGAACACTTATATGTAAGATCAAAATCAACAGAGTAATTTGAGTCTCTTTTGCACTGATAAGGAAAAAAGTGAGCTCGTCGCGCCGGCGTGATAGCCGACCCCTGAGGGTTAAGGGAAGTCAGTCCATTCGGTGCCCATCTTGGAAGCATTCAGCTCCTGCCTACTTGAATGAGAAAAGTTGGTCAAAGTTTCGTCCAAATTATGTTTCAGTAACGTACTCTTATTGTTTCTTTTTGTCTCTTCCTTCTCTATATCTGTCTATATAGCCACAGCTTCCTGTAACTGCAAACCAACGTTGGAGGTTTACCACTTAACGTAAAAAAAACCACACACCCCTCCTCCCTACCTCAAAGCTCCTCATACTGCATCGTCATGGCGATGAGCAGTGATCCTGGTTGCTTGGGGTTGGACCTTGACCCAGACTCTTCCCCGACTGCTGAAATGACTGACAAGATGTCCGCAATGTCCCTAAGGTCTGATCCCACCTCCAGTGTAGTTAAGAATGGGACAGGTGTGAAGAAAGCTCTGCCCAAGAGGCCACACCTGTCAGGCAGGAAGATGTCATTGCAGGAGAGAGGGACGTACGTATCTTCTGGCGGCGGGGCTGAGCGCTACTCCCGAATAGCCAGACAGCCAACCATCGAGTCCAGACGAGTGTCCATCTCAGACTCGCAGGTGAGAGACATTTAAATATTGCCATGGTTGTGTATGAAATATTATTCATATGATCGTTACATTTACTTTTTTAGGATTTGATAGATTGTTTTGATGACCGATATCTTCAGGGTGGCCAAAGGCCGATATAAACATTTAATAAATAAACATTCAAATTTGTACTTTAGATAACAACTTATTGATTCTGTAATCCTATTGTAGTATGTTTTGCAAATAAAGAAATTGTTAAACAAAAAATGGTACAATGGTAAAAAAAAAGAATGTAAATGGTAAAAGAAATGGCAAATGGTGGAAAGTATATAAAGTAATATGGTAAGTCTGCACAGTGAAATCATATTTTCTCTACAAAAAAATACTAGGTAATGCTGTTTTTGCATACAAAACACAGTGAATATGACATAGCGGTCAACTTTTAACTGCCATAAAACCTGGTGAACATGCGGCTCATTTGAATTTACGCAAATGCAAATGAGATCTGAAAGCAAGATTTTGAGTAGAATTAAATCTCAACCTGTTTTTCAAACAAAGTTATCATATGGCTTAAGGTTTGTTGCTCGTGTTTCTTCAGTGACAGCAGATTTGTGCATGGATGGAACAGATTTCTTAAAGTTTGTACGGTTCTTGGAATTAAATATTTACTAGATAATCAAAGACATGTTTAAATTATATTAATGTCTATTTGCTGAATGCCGATGGTATATGAGAAATCTGGTTACTTCTCTTACATAGCATGAAGTGTGTGTGTGTGTGTGTGTGTGCGTGCGTGCGTGCGTGCGTGTTTGAAGCTAATTTAATTTCCTGTGATTAGTGTCCAGGACAGGTCATGTGGTGACCCATACAGCCATACTTTAATAAGGCTATTTTCATTCATACACAGCCTCAGCATCCCTTCCTGGATGTGTGTGTGTTAATTTGGTTTAAGCCAGAGAGGAGCATCAGCTGGTCGGGTTCTCCTCATCTGCTCTCACACCTCTCCAGTGATAGCCGCAGAGGGGAAACACTCGTAACTCTAAAGCTATTTAGTTTGAATCATTTTAATGTTCATACTGGAGTATTTGCAGTATTTTATTTACTAAAACTGTCAATATTTATCAATATTTACAAATCAAACTCATTCAGTTGAGTCAGTAAGTGAGCTCCACTGGATGAGTCCTATTTGTAAATAAGTTATCATTAATAACTCTATAACATTAACAAACTGGAGTAAAGCATGTATGTGTGAAAGTGTACTGCTTTAAACTCAGTTTGACCATATCAGTCTGACTTAAGTGTAGTCCGACTAACAGACCTAGATGTTGTGATTGTACTGTATCTTGGCTTCATCCAGTGTGCATAGCTGCATACAGACTGTTACTGGCCTCAGCTGGAAAGCTTTAGTGTCCATTCATTGCAATTGGATGGAAAAGGGCAACATGTTTAGTTTGTTATTAAAAACTGCATTTGGTGTTCCACAGAAAAAAAGATTGTCATGGAGTTGGAACGATTATGACAGAATTTTGTTTCTGGATGAACTAATCCTTTAACCCAGCCTAGACTGATTAAGTTGGTCTTGGTGTTCAACTTATTTAGCTGATCAACTAGCTGATCTTCCAAACTGACTTGATGATTAGTGCACAAAACCCCTCTAAAATTAGCGACCCAGGCCAATTTGTCCAGAATGGAAGACCTGTGAATCAGCTTAGGCTGGTTTATGGTGTTTTTCTCAGCAGGAAGTGCAAAAAAGAGAGAAAGAGAGTCATTAATTAATATATGTATGTGGTCAGATCATGACCTTGCGGTCAGCACGTGTGCTTTTAACAATGATAAAGTCATTTGCAGTCTTTGTATGGAATTTAATAATTATCGAAGTATGAAATATCATCAAAAACACGGTTTATGAAAAATCCATTTGTGGACCACTGCAGGTTAGCGGTAAAATCTTTATGAATTATTTTATTCTTTAATAGAAGATGTAAAAGCATTCAGACAGAAAGCATGGCATTTCGTAAGGATAAAATATATATAGTTCAATTAATCATGGATTCATGTAGATTAATTAGGATAAACCAAATCATGAGTAATCTTATATACTTATTTTAATAGATTTTATTTCTCACAAAAATCTTTTCACATCTGTATTATAAATGAAAGAATATGTGTAATGAGCAATTGAACACACATTCTTATGAAGAATAAGAAGAAATCAAACATTGCGTTTTCTAAGGATCTTCATATGAGTCTCTGAAATGATCGCTGTTAGTTAGAGGTTAGCCTCATACAGCACAGCATATCTTTCCCACATCCTTGCATGTTCTGCCATGATGTACATTAGTGCTTGTGAGATGGTTGTCACTGGTGGACAAGGGGCTTCAATTCCATTGATTGATATTGTTCTGGAGAGAAATTATATTACTATGAGTTTCATTATCTTCACAATTAGTTATTTAATTAACTGGATGCTGCATCTTGAGGGAATTGCATTACATTGCATCTCATTCTCTAACTGTGTATATGTAACTGGTCTCTTTTCTGCGTTGTGTTTTTGGTTGGTATGAGAAGAACAGGACAGCATTCGGCAGTTTCACTGATCTTTTATTTCTGTCTCTCACTGCATCACCAATGCAAAGAGCATAAATCACATATAACATGCATATAACAGAAAACATACCTGATATACTAACAAATGTAATCAGCCTCTTAGTGTGAGAGTCGCCCTCATTTACTCTATAAAACAAATGTGATGTACACTTATCACGTGTGCTCTCATTTCACATTTAGGCCCAGATGCAAAACTATCACTTAGTCGGGATGAAATGACAAAAATAACCACACAGATAGGTAAAATAATATTATATACATAGATTAGAGTGAAAATATAGACATAATAGCAGATTATCGGGAGGCCAAAATAACCTCACCTCTCACTGCATCATCAATGCAAAGAAGAAGAGGAGGGGACAGAACAGGAAATTATATTGACTCATGACATCACATCAATTAAAGGGAAAGGTACTCACTTCACTTAGGCAGTCATATCAGGTACGTAAACGAACAATTTTGTGAGAATTCTAATAAACTTTACATACATTCAACAGTACACTTTATGTACCTGTTACATATACATTTATATTTGTACATAAAACATGTTTAGGAACTTTTCCATGCAGAAATCATGATGAATAAGTAATTGAGGATAAAATATACACTACAGTTCAAAAGTTCCATTTTTTTTTCAATTTTTGAAGTCTCTTATGCTCACCAAAAAAAACCCACACAAAACAAAATCACACTACTATCATGGAATAGTAGTACAATTTTAAATAATTGTTTTCTATTTCAATATATTTTAAAATGTAAATTATGACAGAGCTGAATTTTCAGGAGCCATTACAGTCTTCAGTGTCACATGATATCCTTTAGAAATATATATTGCTGATTTGGTGTGAAAACTGTTGTACTATTTATATTTTTTTTTATGGAACCCGTTATTTTTACGGGATTTGTTAAAGAATTGTAAGTTCAAAGGAACAGCATGTCAAGTGTATGTTCAGTTTTGGTTTCATTTTAGTTCCTGTTTCCTTTGTTCTCATTTTCCTGTTAATTAGCTTCCCATATGTACAGTATTTAAGCCCTCAGTTCATTCAGTTCTTTTTGCGGTGTCATTTATGTTATTCGTGGTTATTTTGGTAAGCTTTCTCCTGTGAACTCCTGCATGTTCTTTTGTTGGATTTGTTGATTAAAGACTCTTTTTGGTAAATTCTCCACCATCGTGCAGCTAACTCATGCACTTTATATAATAATTTAACGGTAGTGTTAATTAAAAAAAATTAACTTAGGGACCATGGAATTAATGCTAAGTGTTTATTTGCATTATTAAAAATGTAAAATTTTATATTGAAAATATATTATAGAAAATTAAGTGACCCTAGAGCAAATACCTTAAATGGAAATGATGGGTGTGTATTATGCCAATTACTAACTGTAGGTAGTCACGCCCCTTTAATTGCAGTAATCTAGATTCATCGACATTAGATCCGGAGTAAGAACAAAGTGATGTGTATCTCATCCAACTTTTACACAATTATTTGTGAATGAGACCCATTTTATGTGAATTATAATTCATGATATTTCTGAGGTTGAGGTGTCCTGTTCCCTTTTTAACCTGAGTCTGTTTATAATGTGATGCTGAGGCTCTCAACCTCTCATTCTATTCATCCTCTCTCTCTCTCTCTCTCTCTCTCTCTCTCTCTCTCTCTCTCTCTCTCTCTCTCTCTCTCTCTCTCTCTCTCTCTCTCTCTCTCTCTCTCTCTCTCTCTCTCTCTCTCTCTCTCTCTCTCTCTCTCTCTCTCTCTCTCTCTCTCTCCTTTCACTTTCTTTCTCTCTTCATCCCAGGAGCTTGTCACATCTTTGAGACTCTACTGTTTTCTTTGACTTACAGGACGAGCAAAAAAAAAAAATCTGGGGTATTCTCTGAAGTGTGAGCAGTAATGTGAGGCTGTTTTATGGAGCACAGAGCAGTCAAAATAATTGACTGTCAGGTTTCATATGGCTGGATATTTCTTTTTTCTTTTCTCTTTGCTTTTGCTCTTTCTCTGTCTCTGTTTCGGTTTCCCTTTTGCCCTTTTCCAGTTTGTTCTCTTGTACTATTTTCTTCACTGACCTTTGTCCATGATGCTCTCATGCCCTTTCTGTAAAATGCTTTGCTCCCTCTCCAGCATTAACCCCACACACATGCACACAAACCTACACTACTTGCACCCTGTGATCCCAGATGTTATTGTACAACATTTGAATGCACAATACGGTAATACCTTACTTAAACCCAAGATTATCCGGTTTAAAAAGAAAAAAAGGACCAACCTGGAAGAGGACCAAACTGAAAATTGAGCCTGTGCGCTAATCCTCGTCTGTTCCCTCTGTGAAAACCTCAGCTATCTCTTTTGAACTTTCTCTAACATAACATACAGTAGACAACAATAAACTTCCCACATCACTATTCCTCTTTTTTTGTGTGTGGATAT